AATAGCGTGTGCTTCAATTTGAAGATATTTGGTGTATTTGGGGTATTTGGGGGGAAAAAGGATATTTCTAAATTTGGAATTTACAGATATTTTCCCTTGGAGAGTGAATTCTCTAGAAATGAAAAAGTTGTACCAGAGGAACCATTTCACTATTGAGAATCGCAGGAACGTCTGCAGAAGGTACTTTCGAAGTTATTTGTAGCGGTCATTATGACATTTATCTTTATTCGTACTTGCATCTGTGTGTGTAAGGTGTCGAACGTGTGTCTGGCCATGACCGACCAATTCTACTTAACGCTGGATTTTCAGTTACTCCACAATCTTTCATCCTTTGTCCCCCACATTTCACATTTCTCATACTGTGTCTTAGCTACATAAATGAATATATTATTAACAATACTCTCCAACAACTATTGTTTATCGTTAAAAACTTGCACAAATACTCTAAATTTTTGCAGAAACTCTCGTAGCTGTAACAAACGACTAATAAAAAGGGAATGTATTTTCAACGAACTGATGACGAGAATCGACATATATTTCACTGTAGAAGTTTTAATTTAATCTCTTAATGATGATCGTCGTTGAGCAATTTCGCCAAATATTCCCCGTAGACGTAACAGTCAACTTGAGAGAAGGACAATCCTCGAGGTGATTTTCTTTCTTTGCCGCAGCGCGAGTGGAAACGAGTTGGAAGAGAACCTGTTGCGAACGAGTAGAGCACGTCTCTTGCCTAAGCAAACTCATGATCGAGCTATCGGGGCGGATCTCGGCGTTTATTATCTACCACACGACCAAGCCTGAACAGCTAATATTGGTTTTTCGAGCAGGGCCGCCAATAAAAAAGTGATTAAGAGACGCTTCCGTCTCGCGGCCACCGCGCCTGCAACGCGTTACGTAAAATCCATTGAGCAATGGTTCAAAATGAAACTATATCGATTCGCGAGGGATGCGCCGCGATACAAACATCGATGAGCTGATACATCGACGTCGAGCAATCTTTCCTCCATCTTTTTCTTTGCCTCTTTCGTTACAACTTTTTCTTCTTTTTTTTTTGGAACGATCTCGATAAATGCGAGTCCATGTATCTTCGTTTACTCCATTCATTGTCGAAACGAGACGAATGATGCTCAGTTGGTGAACAATTTAATGACTCGATATTATAATTCTCATTATAATTATAATGAGCATTATAATTATAATGCTCAGTTAGTGAACAATTTAATGACTCGATATTATAATTCTCAAATTTTACTTTGGTAATTTATTGCGCTGATAAGTAATTTCTATCAATAATTATGGTATCTATATACAAATTTTGACGAGCAAGAAGAGAAGAAATTAATTGTTTATTATATTTTGAAGGAATATATATGTGTGATTTTTTTTAAACAAATGTAGTTCAATCTTCTGTGAGTTGAACAAAAATCGAGCGAAATCCATTTTTGCATTGTAAAGATCAATTAAGGATCCGAGTTCTTCGCCTTTTGCTCGCGAAAGAATTGGGAAATGAGCCTGAAATAACGACTGATAATCTCCTTTAATTAGTCGCGACGGGCAATTAACCTAATCACGACGGAACGATTCGCGATCGAAGAAGATTTAAGAGGATCGGCGAGATTTAGCGCAGCGGCTACGTGAATTTTTTTCAGTTGCATCGTTTAATCTTTTTAGATATATCGTTCATTTATTTAGTTATAGTATTGTTTCGGCAATGAAATAAATTAAAGTGGGATTTTTTTTAAAATTTTGAAACAACCAAGACTAAAAAACTGAAGATATATTTACGCCCCGTACTGAACGTTTAACCATTCCCAAATTAATTCAGTATTTAATTGTCTGATGCTTAACACTTCTCGTTGAACAGCGAATGTTCTTTATGACCGTTTGAATGTTGAGATGAAACTTTCGAAAATTTGAAAACCCTCTGACTGAATGATGCATCACACTGTGACAGTGTGATCGCGTTTCTCAAGAAAGCTTCATGTACGTTTCAAGGTGACCAAAAACTTACGGAACGGCGACGTAGACCAATTTAGGATGCGGTTTCACCCTGGACAACGTGGACACGCAACCACTGTGCCTTCTAAACGAGGTGACCGGAAGTGTCACTCTCATCGTGCCGGAGTCCCTGCGCGCCAATCTCGAGGACACCTCGTGCGGCACAAGTATGGCGTAATCGTTCATCTTCCTGCGTTCGCGATCTAACGAAGATCTTCCCTTTTCCGCTGGGAAAAATACGATCTCTCTCACTTAAAACGCACCATCTCACTACGGTACACGAATTGTACAGCAGTGCAAGTATTCCTTTACTTATCACGCCGTTCTCGATGATTCTCGACGTACACGCTCAATCAGATTTTGCACTCGTAGTTGTTCGAGAAATCCAGGGGAGAGTCTCGTTCGCTGTTAAAATTAATTTGCAAAGTTCTCGCGAGTTTCATCCGGCACTTCGAGCTCCTTTTATCCACGACGATTTTAAACACAAGCGGTTCTTTGAAACGATTCTCCGAGACGGTTTCTAGAC